AATCTTCAAAATTTTTTATTCTTTCTTTTTTTTAAAGACAGCATCTCTCTCTCTCTCTGTTACAAGGCTGGTGCATAATGGTGTCATCATAGCTCTCTATAGCCTCAAACTCCTGGACTCAAGTGATTCTGCTGCCTCAGCCTTCCAAGTAGCTGGAACTACAGGTGTATGTCACTAGGCACATCTAATTTTTTTATTTTTTTGTAGATATAGGGTCCTACCATGCTGCCCAGGCTGGTCTTGAACTCCTGGCCTCAAGCGATCTTCCTGCCTCTGCCTCCCAAAGCGCTGGGATTACAGCTGTGCTCAGCCAGATTTTGCCACTTTTACATGCACTTGTGTGTTATCTAAAGTTCTATGCAATTTTATCAAATGTAGATATATATAACCACCTCCATAATCAAGATACAGAACTGTTTTATCACCACAAATATTCTCCTTGCTATTCCCTTATAGTCATAAACATTCCCCTACCTCTCTACATCCTCCTATCTTGTTCTAATCCCTGGGATCTTCATCTCTACAGTTTTGTCATTTTGAGAATATTATAGAAATGGAATCATATAGTATGTAAGCTTTTCAGATTGGCTTTTTTCACTCAGTATAATTTCAGATGTTTCTATATTAGGTAACACATGTTAGTGATTATAATTTTGTATTTGTCATGGGATGATATTAAAATGTCCACCTTCCCAGATTCACCTAATAGCTGGTATTATATCTGACTTATATTAGCATTTTTGTATTACTTTATATCTTAAGAAGTTTTACTTGCAAACACGAAGAAGGTAATGTTGGTTAAATGTTAACTAACCACCGCCTACTGGAATGCCTTAAGGCAAGTGTTCAAAGGTTACATTTTGTCCAAACATAATGTGTGTGTTTGTGTGGGGTCTCTTATCAGATAAAGGTGTTTCAGGGGAATTTCTTAGGCAAATTAGAATAAAAACACAGGAAGAGAAAATGTTAGAAATTTATAAACTAAATTATGTGAAACTGTAGAGCAATTAGCTAATAGAGAAAATGTTACCCCTCTTCACCATCCAGAAGCCAGTATAGAGAACATAAAGCTCTCACAACACCTCAAGTCTTATGGGTAATATCAGATCATTCCAGAAACTCAAACTTCTGCTGAGATAATAGAAGGCTATGGGCTCTTCCATGTCATGCAGGCTATGGGAACAGCTAGCTGCTAGGGTTCTAAAAATGATCCTTGAAGAACTAAACTCTATGCTATCGACTGTTATTGAATCAGAGTGACTCACAAACCCATAGAGTTCAATTCATAAGAAATTCTTTGAATTTAGGACCAAAGGGCAGGGGAAAGGGAATGGTTACACCTTGTTTTCGTTGTAAACTGTTTACTTGTATCTAGGCTTCTGCTGTAAAGCAGTTTTACAACAGAAGTATTTAGGAAATGTCATACACTATTGTTAATGTTAGGTATGCTGTTGTTACATTGCTGACTTTGCAGAATTATTAGTGTAGATGAGTTTTAGATACACTTCACATTTATGTTTTAATACTGAAATTTGTTATTATAGTTAAATGAAGGCATGAAGCTGAGAGAAACAACTTTTTAAAAAAAATAAAGCAATTGTAAATTGGTACAATCTTTTTGGAATCCTTTTGGCAATATTTATCAAATTGAGATACTTATATCCTTTGTTCTGATATTCTGCTCCTAGGAATCCATCAGATGTAATTATATGTGTACAAAGATGTTCATACATACATGATGTTTTCTGCAACATTATTAGTTATACTGAATAATTAGAAACAATGTAAATTTCTACTATTTTGGAAAATGTTAACTTATGAAATTGTGAAATACTATGCAGTATTAAAAAGAATTAAGTAGATTAAAAGTATTGCAATGAAAAAAATACCCAGGATTTTTAGGTAAAAAAAGGAAATATAATAAAAATGGTAAAAGCATAGAAGGATGCACAAAAAATTGTTACAGCGCCAGGCAAGGTGGCTCATCCCTGTAATCTTAGCACTCCAGTGAGGCTGAAGCAGGAGGATCACTTGAGCCCAGAAGTTTGAAGTTGCAGTGCTGCCACAGCACTCTCCTCAGGGTGACAGAGCAAACTCTGTCTTAAAAAAAAAAAAAGGCCAGGCTGGGCACAATGGCTCATACCTGTAATCCTAGCACTCTGGGAGGCCAAGGCAGGCGGATCATTTGAGCTCAGGAGTTTTAGACCAGCCTGAGCAAGAGCGAGACCCCATCTCTACTAAAAAAAATGGAAGGAAATTAGCTGGACAACTAAAAATATATAGAAAAATTAGCCAGGCATGGTGGCATATACCTGTAGTCCCAGCTACTCGGGAAACTGAGGCAGTAAGAATTGCTTAAGCCCAGGAGTTTGAGGTTGCTGTGAGCTAGGCTGATGCCACAGCACTCTAGCCCAGGCAAGAGAGTGAGACTCTATCTCAAAAAAAAAAAAAATTGTTAGGCTTATCATGGCAGGATGTGGTTTGGGGAGAAAAAAGTTATAACTTCTTAATATTTAATACTGTTTGAATTTTTCAAAATGAGCATCTTTGCTTATACTATTTGTATACCTAAATAAAGGAAATTTCATCAACAGATTATATCTCAAATACAGCAATACACCGCAGAAGCCACTTATCTTGCTGATATTTTAAATTTCCATCTGGAAATGTAGGGTAGCAATGTTTACAAATGCAACTTAATAGTTGAACTTACCATACAAAACAAAATATATTTGGCATTTGGTGATGAAGGATTGACGTTAGATACATTACTTTAAAAATGATCTCACAGAATTAGACACCTGAGTTATTTGAAAGCTGGTTTCCCAGGAAGGGGGGGTTGGCTTTTTTTTTCCCCACCAAAAAAAAGACATCAACTGAGAAATCCATTCAACCGCGAAGACTGGAACCTGATTTTCTTGTGTATTCCTGCAGTGCTGCATTGCTGGGCACATAGTAGACACTCAAGAAATACTGACTGATGGTTGAGTCTGCAGTTGAAATCTTTTTAGTAGCACCCACTTATTTAAAAGCAGGAAATTAGCAAAGATAGATGATTGAGATTCTTGTTACTGGCTTTATCAAATGAGGAGGCCGGGGAGAGGAAGGGCAGGCCCCTTTTGATACTTAGGCAGTTAATAATTTGTTGAGCACAGCGTTTAGTGGTTTATGTTCTGGTAATCTGTGAATTGAAAAATCATTCAATTTTATAACCAGACGACTATAAAAGGGCGAAAAGCAAGTGTGTTGTCATTAGTGACATATAAATACACATATGTGTGTGTGTGTATATATATATATCCCCCCCCTAGACTAGAGGAAAGAGCTCTAGTGCAAACGTTTCCAGGCTGTGAAACAGTGGGTGGGCAAATCACTCTATTCGTGACTGTATTTTCACCTGAATCCCTTCCTCGGAGTTTTTTTTCCCCTTCAAGAGAGGAATGAGTGAATAAACTTTTATAAAATGCTAGCACTACAGTGGCCATTCTATATTTGTGCAATGAATGTTTCACATAAATTCAATACCAGACGGTCGCGCTGACGAGCACCGAGACTAAAACTGTACAAAAATTCAAGTGTTCTCCAGTCCGGAGCAGCCTCTCACCCTCATTCATCGTCCCTGACACAGCCATTAGGCCGGTGCGAGTCCCGGCGGTGGGCTCCGAGCGCGGGGCGGGCGACGGGCGGGTCCCGCACAGGCCGGGGGCGCCCTCTCCGGGTCTCGAGCCTGGGCTTCCTCAGGCTGCAGGGCCCGGGGCTCCGAGGCCCACAGCCTGCACCTGGCCGCCGGACGTGCCACCTCGAGCCGCGCGCACCCGAGGCACTTCCACCTTGGAGTTGGGGTTCTGGCGGGACATTCCTACCTACTCTCGGGAGTCAGGTCCCCAAGGCTTTTCCCGCCAGCAGAGGGAGGTGTTCGAGCTTGCCGCCCGGTCCGCGAAGCCGGAAGGCCCGCGGGGCCGCGGGAGGACGGGCGGGGCGGTCGGCGGAGCGGGAAGTACAAGGAGCGCGCTCCCGTGGACGCAGGAGGGAAGCTGGGGGCGCGCACGAGCGCCGCGATGAGGCCCGGGCGGGGTCTTACTGCGACCGCGGGAAGAGGGCGCCCTGGAGCCGCGCCGGAGGCCGACAGCCAGCGGGCGAGAGTGGGCGCGAGCGTAGGGGCGGGCCCCGAGGGAGGGCGCGACGCCGAGGGGCGGGGTCAGGCGAGGCGGGGACGCGCTCGCGGGGTGGGGAAGGCGGGGGCGCGGCGGTGGCGGGAGCGTGCCCGGTCCCCGCCCCTGTTTCCCACTCTCTCTCCACCTCCGACCCGCCGGGGCTCGGGAGAGGCGCCGCTCGCCCGTCCCCGGAGCCGCCCTGCTGCCGCCACCCGCACCCTCCGCTCGCGGTGAGCCCGTCAGTGCCGGTACTGTGCGCTTCTCCATCTGGGCCATGGATGGGTAAGTGTCCGGCGGCCGCGCCGGGCTGCGCTGGCCCCGCTTCCTCTGGGCTCTTGGCGGGACGCGCCGGGGCTGGGGAGCGGGGCGCGGCGCCGGCGGCCGGAGGAGCGGCCCCAGCGGAGCCCGACGGCGGGGCTTCCGGGCGTCTCGGTGGGGCTCTCCGCATCGCGGAGGCGCCGTCTGCCGCAGCTTCTCCGTCCCCCTCGCGTTATGTCCTTAAAGCTCGCCCCTTCACGGCCTCTCGCCGCACACCGGGAAGTGGAGGAAAGCCCGGTCCGGCCGCCGGTGCCGGGGTCCGCCCTGCGCGCCCAGAGTCCGGGGAGCCCGGCCCGGCCTCCCGACACTTCCTCTCAGAAAATGGTGCGCGGCGCTGGGGGAGGCGGAGGCGGCGCTCGGGGCGGGCGTCCTCCCGCTGGGGGAGTTGCTGTTTACCGGAGAGGTGGGGCGAGCGGCGGAGCTTTCCCGGGCGGCGAGGCGAGTGGCCGGGCCGCGGAGTAGCGAACGGCGAGTGCACGCGTCGGTGCGCGTCTGGGCGGCGACCTGGCCCGGAGCCGCGGCCCCACGCGGGTCGCGGGGCTGCCGGGGACTGGCCGAGGTCTCCAGACTTGTGCTGTGAGATATGTTGGCGATTTCTGTACACCAGGCTTCTGGACTTAGTGACCATGGAAGCTTCCCCCTCCACCACTCTGTCCCTCAAGAAACTTAGTGAATTCGCTGCCGTGTATGTAAAATATTGTGTATGTGCAGTTTTGGGGGAGATTTCAAATGCTCAAAAACTTAATGGGGTCCATGACCAAAATAAAAACATTTAGAATCACCTCTATAAATAATTCTCTGGGGACTCAGGGAGATGGGGTGGGACCTGACATATTTTATTAATTAAAGAAACAACTATCAGGATCTTGGTTGTAGTGTACATCAGGGTTTTAAAATATCTCCAGCTGTATTAGAGACTAGAAATCCATTTGTTTATTCCCTTTATGCATTTGAGGTTTTGTTTGGCCTGTTACCTACTTTTGGTGATGAGATTTCTGTAAGCCTCTTGGTTGTGGAATATATGGAACTTGCTTGAACAATAAAAGCCATTTACGTGTTGTCATATAGTTGATGATTTTTGTCATGCCATGTAAAGAGGATGGAATCTTCCAACAGTTTTTGCCCTTGTTAGATTTCATTTATCTTAGTTTCATAATGTTAAATGTATATGATAGATTGGATTAATTTATTTGAATGCGGATTACACTCTGCTACAGACATCAAAGTGAAGTTTTAGGTTTCATTCAGATTGTGATCTTTCTAAAACATTTTTATTAAAAATATTTTTTTACTAATCCCCTTATAATAGGTTATGATGTTCTTTAAAAGTATTGTTTTTATAATAATTGAAGCTTCTCTGAGAGTATCGCTGAAGTTTTATTTTACATTACCTTATTCAGTTACATTTTATATGTATGCAAAATTTTGCAATCTTAATGATTTGTGTTATGCCAATATTTCAGTTCAGGAAGGCTGTGAAATTATGTGCATTTAATTGTCATTAGAAGATTTGACTGCAATATGGAAGCAGGCTAGGTTTTTGTGTCATAAAATTTATACTTATGATAAAGAGGACTCTTGAGTTTTGTGTCTTGGCTGTTAAACTCTTGGATAACTATGAAGTGCAAGCTTGCTTTTTGATCGCGTTTAAGAAGTTAACTCTCCCTTCATCCTATTTGTGGTTTTAACGCTAAGACCGTGTTTATGGGTTTAAATATATAGGGCAGTGATGTAGATACTGGAAGGTAAGTTCATTTGGAAGTTCAAGTGGGAGCATGATTTGCTCTTTGCCTCATGACCAATGATCATAATAATACACAATCTTATTTTTTATGCAGAAAACATCAGAGTTACTTGTCACATTTAAATTTTAGACAAATGAATTTCAAGTTTCAGAAGTCAGGAAAATTAAAAATCTACATGGTTATTGTTTGATTTGCATCTTTAACCAATCAAGAGTCATGTATTCGTTTACATTTATGAAATAATGATGACATTTAGGTTATTAACAATATGTAGAATTTATTTGTAGCTTTTTTTTTTAGGAGATACGGAGGTAAACTATTAATCATATGCTGCTGCTTTGGGGTTAGATGAGATGAATGTTTTGTATGGCAAGACTTTGACACCCTGGTCTTAAAAGGTGTGGTTTTGAATACAGTGAATTTTTGCCTTCAGGAGACTAAATTTCTGCATTTTCCCACAGCCTGAAAAAGGACCTTTTTCTTTATTTTGGATAGTTTAAAAGCAAACCACAAACCACCAGTCAACATATCTTTCTAGTTCCTCCTCAAATCCCAACTGTCTTTTGTGTGTGTGTTCATTTCCTTCTAAGAGATAATTTATACTTAAACACAGTTTTTACATGCTAGAGTTTTTTTAAAAGCAAGTCTTTGAAAATTTTGATGTCTGAAATTTGATGTTTGTATTTATTTTAGTTCTGAGAGACAGTCTTCACTATATTTTGGTGAGCAGTTTGGGTGGTAAATGCAGATTTGCGAGATACCTTCCATTTCTGTAAAACCCAAGAACTGGTTTTATTTCATTTAAAATTTTAGACATGATAATTCATGCCAGTGGTTTAAAAGAACGAATTTGGTGATTTTAAGTTTTGATTTATATTTGTAAATAGAAGCAAATGGATAAATACATATTCATTTGAAGCACAACTATATTTTTCTAAATGATAAAAGATAGTTATTTGTTCTTACATTGCTATGAAGAATTTGCTTTTCCACTCTGCTGTTGCTAGACTGTCCCATCACTTTTCTTTGTATTAACATTTCACAACTCATCACATTCTTATTTTTATTTGTTATTGTAATGCTTTTTTTCCTTTAATCTTATTATCTCTTTTAAAAACTTGTTCTCTAACTTTGTTTTCCATTTTCTCTTTTTACTTTTTCCATACAGTGTTGTTACAGATCTTATAGCAGTCGGTTTAAAGGTAGGAATCTTTTACTCTCCTTTCATTAGCATTTTTATATCTTAGTTTTGGCATTTTTTTCCCCCAATGGTGAAACCCTCTCACCTATTCTTTAAAGTATCTGTTCTATAGTATGCTAATCTTTTATTTTTATTTAGCTCCAAAATAAGTAGACCTGTTGCTAAGTTTGGATTTTATGTATTTATAAGGAGGAGCTATAGTATCATATATATATAAAATGTGAACAAAAGTTTCACTTAATCAGTATGTTTTTTGTTTTTGTTTTGTTTTAGCTGTTAAGTATAACCTAGGCCCTAGTTTATCTTCTTACCATGTCCTTTATATTCTCTTCCATGGATGTGCTTATGAGTAATAAAATAATAGCAGCTGATATTTCTTCACTGACTACTATGTGCCAGGTGCTTTACATATATTTTTACTAATCATTATAATAATTCTTCAAGGTAGGTAATTAATATTCCCATTTTAGAGATGAAAAAATAGATTCAGAAAGTTTGTGCCCAGGATGCAGTACACTAGTGCTCAAACTCTTGTCTTCCTAGTTCCAAAGCCTGACTTGTTTTTTGTTATACCTAACTGCCAGCAATGAGGGTTCTGTCTAAAAGGTGAACAGCCAGAGAGCTCTTTTATATTTGATAATGATTCTTCTAAGTTATAAATCATTTCAGATTTTGTGAACATCTTCCTATTTATTGGATTTTTAAATGTAAATTAAGTAAACGATGCTCATCCATATGAGGCTTTTAAAATATAACTTAGTGTTCTAAGGTTTCCTTTGGTAATTAGTATTCGATACAGTTAAATTGAGAATCTAGTTTTAGAGGTTACTTACAGTTCAGATTACTGTAGAAAGAAATAATTTATCTTTATATTATATGTCATGTTATAGATTGACTTAAAGTTGTCTCACCACTTTCTGTCCATCTCTCTCTGTCATCCTTTTTTGCTAACAATTTCAGTGCTTCTGCTTCATTTGCATTCATTGGATTTGGCTGTGGTGTTCATATTCTCAAAACACCTTAAAAATAATATAGCAAACAGCACTTGACACTAAGAATAGGATGTCCAAGACTAGCATAATTGGGAACTACTGTTTATACGGTCTTTTATTGTGGAGTGGACCTGCTTTCGCAAACTTTGAACATATTTATGAGTTAAAAGTAAGCTGGGTGGCCTCTTTTGGTGAAATATGCCTTTTTTAGGTAATATTTATGTCAGTTTCTCATTTGGGAATGGTACTCAGAGATTGGAAGCCATAGGCTGCACTATAACTAGGATTCCTTTTGGTGTCTGTAGGTGCTTGTGGGACAAGAGTTATTTAAAGTGAATATTGTTTTGGTCTTAACAGAAATATAATTTGTGATTCTAGAGTTTTATCTGACAAAGATGAATACATGAAATATTTTAAAAACTTACCATTTAGGAGTTAAGAAATTATGCTTGAAGGACTGTCATGACTGTTGTATTGTGGGGAAAAATGTCTTGATAAATGAAAGAAAATTTAAATGTTAGGCACATGAGCCATACTTGAAGATAAGATTTGGTTTTCTGACTACCTGTTTGTTGTAGCAAGCACTTTGCAAAAATAAAGATTAGATCCTACTCTGAAGAGAAGATAAGCTGATTGATTAGTTGACTCAGTAGATAGTCTATACTTTTATAGACTTAAATACTGCAATATAAAATTATGCATTATCTGGAGAAATTTCTCATAAGATTGTTCTTTTTTGGATCCCATTCAAGGAAGCTTAGTTACCAAGCAAACACTAATAGGCCAATAAGTCTCATATTTCATCTAGATTGTATGAGAGATAAGCTAACAGTTACTTACCTCTTTCTCTATTTGCTGTCTGAATATGATGACACAGCAAATGGTTTTAGCCAGTGTCAAGAATGGATGTCAGGTTATATTCCATAAGTTGCTTTCCTGGATTCAGAAAAGTAATATGGACTTTTAAAAAAGAATTAAAAATACCCTTTTGTATTAGGTTGGTGGAAAAGTAATTGTGGTTTCAGACCATGAATTTTAAATCATTCTAACTAGGCTCAAATACATCTTTATTAATCAAATTAGGAACCATTACAATCAGCACATTTTTGCCAGCGAGAAATAAGCTTGTTTATTCCTGCAGCATAAAAATCCATGCTTCAGGATTCCAGAAACTCATTTTCGGCATCCTGCTGGTCGTGGAAGCCTTTTTCCTGCAAAAAGTTGTCAGAATGCTTGAAGAAGTGATGGTCGGTTGGTGAGAGGTCAGGTGAATATGGCATATGAGGCAAAACTTCATAGCTCAGTTTGTTCAACTTCTAAAGCATTGGCTGTGCAAAGTGCAGTTGGGTGGTGTTGTGGAGAAAAATTGGGCTTTTTCTGTTGACCAATGCCTTCTGCAGGCATTGTAGTTTTAAGTGCATCTCATTGATTTGCTTAGCATACCTCTCAAATGTAATGGTTTCGCTGGGATTCAGAAAGCTGTAGTGGATCAGACCGGCAGGAGACCACCAAGTAGTGACCATGATTTCTGCACGTTTCGCTTTGGGAAGCTTTGGAGCTTCTCGGTGCCACTGAGCTGGTCATCGCTGGTCGTCATATAAAATCCGGTTTTCCTCACGCGTTGTAATCTGATTGAGAAATGATTCGTTGTAGCTGTGTACAATAATAGAAGGCGACACTTAAAAAACAATTTTTTTACTTTTGGTCAGCTCATAACGCACCCATTTATCAAGCTTTTTCACCTTTCCAATTTTCTTCAGATGGTAAATGACCGTAGAATGGTCTGTGTTGAGTTCTTCAGCAACTCCTTTTGTAGTTGTAAGATGATCAGGTTAGATGATTGCTCTCAATTAGTTGTTGTCAACTTCTGATGGCTAGCCACTGCACTCCTCATCTTCAAGGCTCTCATCTCCTTTGCAAAACCTCTTGAACCACCACTGCACTGTACCTTTGTTAGCAGTTCCGGGGCCAGATGCGTTGTTGATGTTGCAAGCTGTCTCTTCTGCTTTAATGACCCGTTTTGAACTCAAATAAGAAAATTGCTAGAATTTGTTTTTTGTCTAACATCATTTCCATAGTCTAAAATAAATATAAAATAAACCACAAGTAATAAGTCATTAGCAAAAAATCAAGCAAGAAATGTGCATTAAAGTGATGTATAACATAACCATATTTATTTAAGAATGTATTCCAATATCAAATGGCAAATTTCAACAATGCTAAAACCACAGTTACTTGTGCATCAACCTAATATAAAACCTATGGTGTTAGAAAAAGAAAAAAAAGTTATTTTTAGAGGTTATGTGATTCACTAGAATGTGTCATGAGGGCAGTGGTTTTTGACATTTTCTTCGCTATTGTGTTTCCAGTGTCTGGAGCATAGTAACCTCTGAGAAATATCTGATGTATGAATGAATGCTAGATTGTCACACAGCTAGTTAGATCTCAAACTTACACTGGCACACAAGCCTTCTAATTTTGCTAGTGTTTCTTCTATTTGGTAAATACCATGGTGGGAAAGAATTCATTGTGTTTTTTAGATTGGAATTTTCTTGAAGACAGGTAGACATTTTCAGGCAGTCTAGGGGGGCCATACCATGTTATATCTAGATGTATACCCTGGATGTTCTTTGGTGATATCAATTTTTTAGCTTTGCCAAAATTAAGAAAAATAGCTTTTGGTAATTCTTATGAAATATTTTATTTTTTTGTATAATTTTTGTATTTTGAAATACTTATTGAGAAACAGTGTGAAATAATTGCTATCTTTAATTTTGAATTCTTTTAAATGAAGACACACCAGGTGATGATAAGTGATAACTGTACATGTTTCAAGAATATATAAATCAAAGTGGCAGCATTGTGGGGTAACATAGCTTTTTGTGTATGCACCTAAGTGGACTTTAAATTTCTAGCTTATACTTTCATTATTACTAGCTGGCTTATTTTAAACTCAAATATTTTTCATATTCTTGGTTATTTTTTCAGAATACTATAGTAGCTATTAAAACATGATTTTTAAAAAATGATCTTTGGTATTAAATATGTTTTAGTCTTTTTCTGGGAAATCTATTTTAAGTGAGTAGATGAGTATAGAAAACTCACTTTGATAGGAAGGACCCTAATTGGCTTCCAGTAATTACCATGCCTGCTGCCACTGTATTGGAGATAATAATATAGCATATTTAAATTAATTTTGAATGTCAGTTATCTATTTGCTTGACCAGGGGTTGGCAAACTACAGCCTGTTGGCCATATCCAGTTCGCCACCTATTTTTGTAAATAGTTTCATTGGAACACAACCATGCTCAATCATTTCTATGTTGTCTGTGTTTTCTTTCACACAATGGCAGAATTGAGTAGTTGTAATGGGACTGCAAAGTCTAAAATATTCACCCTTTGGCCCTTTACAGGAAAAATTTGCCTATTGTGCTTGAACTATAATACATTATAGAAGGCCTTTGCTGCAAATCATTTTCCTTTTTTTTTTTTTTTTAAATGTTTTTGAGACAGAGTCTCACTCTATTGCCCAGGCTAGAGTGCCGTGGTGTCAGCCTAACTCACAGCAACCTCAAACTCCTGGGCTCAAGCAATCCTTCTGCATCAGCCTCCTGAGTAGCTGGGACTACAGGCATGTGCCACCATGCCTGGCTAATTTTTTCTATATATTTTTAGTTGTCCAATTAATTTGTTTCTATTTTTAGTAGAGACTGGGTCTTGCTCTTGCTCAGGTTGGTTTCGAACTCCTCACTTTGAGTGATCCGCACACCTTAGCCTCCCAGAGTGCTAGGATAACAGGTGTGAGCCACCTTGCCAGGCTCCTTTTTCCTTATAAACTGAGCTATAATTTACATTGAGTGAAATGCACAAGTCTTAAAGGCACAATTTAATAAATTTTGACAAATATATCCACTAATATTTCCTGCACTTCAAGACAATAGAAAACCGTTCCAGAAAGCTCCCTGTTGCCTCTTTCCAGACCCAGTCTAGGCAGTTATTCTGATTTCTA